CTCCTGAAGCCTTTTCCATAAGTGGATATAGTCACAAGGCAGTGGAGGTTTAAAATCGAAGTTTTCCTTCTCCTAGATGGGCTGGCTTCCAGGGCTAATGAGCCCCACCTCCCTGGCCTGCTCTCTAATAGTGTGGAAGTATGATCTGACCTTTAAAAGTATACTCCTCCCCAGTGTATGGAATGTTAACTGGCTTTCCTATTTACCAAATTAGGGCAAAAAATAGAATTAGAGAATTTCATCTCCACGTTGTATGTACAGTGGTGTCTCGCATTACGACATTAATTCGTTCCAGCGAAATCGCTGTAGAACGAAATTGTCGTAATGTGAAATTAAAAAGCCCATAGAAACGCATTAAAACCCGATTAATGCGTTACTATGGGATTGAAACTCACCGTCCAGCAAAGAACCTCCATAGCGTGGCCATTTTCGCTGCGCATGCAGTGAGGAATCCGTACCAGAAAAGAGCAGGGAGCCATTTTTTTTACCTGGCAGCCATTTTGGAACCTCCGATCAGCTGGCCGAAAATTGTCGGTTAACCGCCTATCAGCTGGCCGAAAATCATCGGTTTGCAAAAATCGGTTCCCGAGGCAGGGAACCAATCATCGCAAAGTGAAAAAAACCCATTTAATACATCGTAAAGCGATCAGTTTTGCGATCGCAAAGTTCATCATGATGCGATTTCGTCATTAAACGGGGCGCTTGTCTTGCGAGGCACCACTGTACATATTTATGTGCACAGTTTTAAGGATTTTTATAATACTGTGTTTATGGTAGAAAACAAATTCTGAAAGTTTACTTTTAAGGAACACAACACAAATGAGTACCAGAGTTACACACAGGCTTCACACTGAACAGTACTATTTTTAGGTACACTAACATAATGGTAAACCTCAATCAAACCTCTTATGGACAATATACAAAAAGGTCAAAGTGAAGAGGGGGAAAAAGGAAAATGTTTTTTGATTTGCTGGCACATTTTGGAGCAATTCACCTGATGGAATGAAGAGAAGCATCAAGAAATAAGCTGCACTTCTGTTTAAAGCCACTCTTTCCTTTCCATTATTTGTATCTTTGGAAAGGCAGCATGTTCACCAAGAGTTGAAAGCTGTTATCCACAGCTGCCATTACAATACAGAAATGTGATGATATAATTGAATAGAAATGTTACACTGTGTATTGTGGAATATGTTCAACACAATTACTACCCCTATAAGAGATGCTTCACCTCTTCCCCTACTGTTACTGTTAACCTTATTAAGCTTCAAAGCTCTGATATTTGTGGAATGCAATATCCATCACTAGACCTAAGAATGCATTGCATTATTAGCAAAATGACAGCAAGATCAAAGCATTTTAAGATTTATAGTGTATGCTGAAAGATGTCTTGCTGAAATGCAAATAGCAGGTTCTGTAGCTCCCACTGTTCTCATTTTAATAGTGAAGTTTTATAAATGTTTTGGGAGACCTTTGTGTGATCTAACAACCAATACATTCACAGTAATCATACTGCACAAGGTAGTAGCACTTTGGTAAATTTATTTCAACCTGCTGAAGTTGTGCTATCCTTACAAGTGAATTCCCTATAATAGTAAAAAAAAAAAGCTGTTCAATGAGAAACCACATACAGTACATGCATATGTGATACTGTATGCAAAAGGACAATTTACTGAACTACTTTTTTTTCCAGAAATGCCATCTATGCAAGATACATCTTAAATACAGGACAGTGCATAAAATAACATTGGTGTTCAACAGAAAGAACTGACAAAGGAAAATGGCTCTATGAAAACACTTGCCTTCATAAATACAAATAACATGCATCAAAAGAGTAGGCTGAATGCTATAATTCATCCTTGAATAGCCTCAGAAATAAGCAAAATGAACCATTCTTTTCTGCAAAGGAATTTATCAGCTGACTTTATAAACTGCTTCAGGAGGAGGTTGGAAAATTGCCCTTTGGTCAATAGTGTCTTGTACAGCACAGAAGGACCTAGAGCAAAAGAAGGAATGAATCAGACTGTAAAGCTGCAAGAGCTGCAAATGCATCAGAAGAAGACAGGCAAAGGCCAGTGATTGCTTGGCATCATCCTTCAGTGATGTCTTGCTAAAAGTGAGGGAGTATGGCATATATTGGAGTTCTATAGCACAGAATCATCTGAATTCTAGAATGGGTACGTTCTGGCTTATATATACCTGCTCGGACATCTGCAAGTTAAAAACCAGCATTCCTGACATATTTACTGCTTAAAAGCCTGCCTGAAGAGGAAAGTCTTTGCCTGATAATGAAAGGACAAAAGAAAGGGGGCCAACCTGGCTTATCTGGGACATGCATTCCAAAGCCTGGGAGCAGCCACTGAGAAGGCCCTCAGTTGTGTCTTCACCAAATGAGCTTGGAAAGGTGGGGGAACCAAGAGAAAGACCTCTCCAGAAGATCTTAAAAACCAAGATGGCTCATATGGGGTGATACGATCCTTCACACAGCCTGGACATCAGTCACATAGAGCCTTATAGGTAACAATCAGCACATTGAATCTGGCCCAGAAACAGACTGGCAGTCAGTGAGGCTGTTGTAACAAGGGAACAACATGCTCCCTATAAGCAGTGTTTTAAACCAGCTGAAGTTTCCAAACACTTTTCAAAGGCAACCCCACACAGAGAGTTTTGCAGTAATCTATATGGGATGTAACTAGGGTATGTTTCATCAATGGCCAGTTTGGAGATCTCAAGGAACTGGTGCACCAGATTTAACTGTGCAAGTACACTCCTGGCCACCACTGAAACCTGTGTATCTAAGCTCAGGGTTGAGTCTAGGAGTACTATCAAGCTGTGAACCTGACTTTTCAGGGGGAGTGTAACCACATCCAGTATAGGCTGAACCCCTACCCCTGATTTGCCTTGTTGACCAACCAGGAGCACCTCTGTCTTGTCTGGGTTAAGTTTCAGTTTCTTGGCCCTCATCCAGTTCATCGTTGACAACAGGCACTGATCTAAGCACAGAAAAGATTCCTTGGAATCAGATGGAGAGACTAGACCGAGAGTTAAGTTTCATCAACATACTGATGGCACTGAACGCCAAAACTCTAGACAACTTCTCCCACTGGTATCATGTAGATACTGAACAGCATGGGGAACAGGACTGAACTCTGAGGGTCACCACAGACCAATGGCCAGGGCGTTGAACTGGATTCCTCCAACACCACCTTTTGAGTCTGGCCATCCAGGAAGGATTGGAGCCACTGTAAAACATTATCTCCAACACGCATCCCAGAAAGGTGCTCCAGAAAAAGGTTTATGGTATCGAAAGTCACTGAGAGGTCCAGCAGAACCAACAGGGATAAAATCCTGCTGTCCAGCTCCCAGTCCTATGATTTCCCAAATGCCGCAAAACAAGGTGTGAAGTGACAATGTTTTAAAGTGAAAAAGACTTATAGGTGATATATGAACAGAAGACTAGCCTCAACTTATTCTTCAGCAGCCTTTTAGGTTAATTAGTACCCAACAGAAAGAAGCATTTTCTTGACAGCTGATGTTTGTTTGGTTTTCTGTGTCAAGCCAATGGCCACATGGTGTAATTTTATTCAGGAAAATATAAATATTCCTTAGGCATGTTACAAAATAAGTCACAACAAGATACTCTTTTAAGTATATCCAATTGCTACAGCAGCCCAAATGCCACTGGAAGAACAAACATATACTTGTTAAATTGCTGCTAGCATTACCTGCATGGCTTTCTTTTCTATCTTCTGCTGGCATATTTGAAGGCATTTGGTGAAATCTGTTAGGTCTTCATCTGGGGTCTCTATGATCTCACATCCCTACAGACAGCAATTGAATAACAAAAAGGGAAGGGCAAGAGTTAATTAAACCAGAATATCAGGATTGCCCACAACTGCCTTTTGTTACTTGTAGCCTGGAATAAACTTCGGGTTTCCATGCAAGTGCAGGAGGTATCAATTGCTGGAAGTGCTTTTTCTCAGCTTATACTCATTGGAAGTGTAGTTTTCAAACAACAGCCCAGGTAGTTATTGGTTGGATATCACCCCCCAGTTCCTGAAATAACAAATAATCAGGTAGCTTTCTCGGATCAAAAGCTTTTCTCCAACTGGCAGAACCACTGAAACCAACACTGCCTCAGCCAATGTTGTAGCTGAGTGGGCAGACTGGCAGCAGCTCAGGGGGACTAATGGGAAATTTCTCTGCAGGGATGCCCAATACTCTGGTTCCTCGGACCTTGTTGTGCCTTTGAGCTTTGAACTCTGCGGTGAGACAAGGATGTGCAGATGATGTGTGGGCAAAATAAGAGGGGACACCAGGGTGCCATGGGTTGAGGGACCAGTCCAGGGAACTATCCCAAATGTACATCTTTCAGTTTCTTCCTCTGTTCCTCATCCCCAGTCTGGGATCCTCCCTCTCTTTTATAGTTTCCTTCCCCGGGTGTTGAAGGTTTGGAACCTTTTTAGACCCTGACTCCGTCACCAATGTGGATGGAACTCTTGCAATTGCTATGCTTTGGCACTTGACCGGCCAAAGGTAGACTCTCACTGAGAAGGCTGCACATCTTCCTCTACATGTTGCCTACCTGCCATTTTGCCCTTGTGGACAGAATTTTTTTTAATTTTTTAAATTTTTATTAATACTACCTACTACCACACAAAAAACTATAAAAAATAATACAAAACAATAAGATACAATTTCACAAGTTCCCCCATCACCTTCAGGACTAGCATTAAACTTAATTCAGTCCATTTTCTCTCCAAAATTTCATTGTTTCTTCCCTTGGTGTATACCCCTTCTCTCTCCGAAATACATATTCCAAAAATACATTCCATATTTTCTTAAAATCATTATTTTTCAATTGGCCTTATTTTCATATCACATGTCAGTTTATCATTAATTGCCATATCCCATAATTCTCTATACCATTCCTTTAAACTAAATTATCATTTCTCCAGTTTCTTGCAAAAATTAATCTTGCAACCATAATCATTATTACTATTAAATCCTTATTTTCTTTCAACAATTGATCTTTCTTAATCACATTCAGTAAAGCCATTAATGGAGACATTTGAATATTTAATCCAATTATTTCGGATATTTCTTTAAAAATTAAATTCCATTCTTTCTTTCTTATTTCACATAACCTCCACATATGTAGGTACGTCCCCTTCTCTTTTTTACACCTCCAACATAATGTTGACACAATTTTCTTGTGGACAAATTCCAAGGGGTGTGTGGAAGCTGCCGAGTCTGCCCATGCTGTGGCCCATTGGTCTCCCACTCTCACCGGCCAATTAAAGACATACTTTAATCTGTAAGTACCATTGTTCAGAAAGCAGCCCTTTCATTTTTTGCTTAAGATAGCCTTAAAACTGGCTTCACTGATATCCTACTGAACTGTGAAGGGAGGAAATGGTTTCTTGGGCAGCTAAGACCCTTTTGTACTCAATTCCTGTCTTTTTTTTTTTTGGTCCACATGAGCTGAGATGGCTTTTAACTCAAGGTAGACTGAATTCCTTGCAGTTGAAAGAGGCCCAAAGACACAATGACAAGAGATATACAAATATCTCCACACAGCTGGACTTAACGAGGGTCCACTCACATGTCCACTCATCCTTCCAATTACTTCCGGAGCCCCGCTCTCTTCCTGCTCGGCTAGCCACTCCAGGCAGGGGGAACGAGGACGAGTCTCCCTGCACAGCTACCAAGTGACCAAGAGAGGGGGGCTCCAGGAGTGATTGGAAGGATAAGTGAGGCTGCCACTACTGGTGAACACATGAGTGAACAGTCTGGCCTCAAAGGATTAAATCCAGCTGCGCGGGGATATTTGTATTCGTATACAAATACCAATACCTATATCTCTAAACTATGAGTCAATATGGTGTGAACAGAGCATCTGCTGGTGTTCAGAGGTGGAGATGATACATTTCCTAATGGAATTTTCCTGGATGCATTTACCCTCTTGTTTACTGTATTTATTTAACTAAAACAGTCATTGCCAACTTTGGGTAACCCAGGTGTTCTTCAACTGCAACTCCCAGAAACCCTAGCCAGCACAACTAATTGTGAAAACTTCTTGGAGTTGCAGTCCAAGAACACCTGAGTTACCCAAGGTTGGGGACCAGTGACCCGTATGTTATCTATTAATTTTATGAATAGTATTTTGAATCTTCCATGTTTGCACATACAGCCTCACTGTATTTAACAATAAATAATTGGAACAGTATTATTTGGTCTTTGGTGGAGAATGTTCTTTAGTTTGGTGTGTGTGTGTTTGTAGAATGGGGTGTAGAAAAAAGAACCCTGAAAATATACATTATGCTTCTCAAATTAAGTTTGAACACCTGTATACTAAAAGTCACTGCAAAAAGATCGGCCAGCTCCCCAGTTGAGTTTGGAAGCAAGGTAACTGTACAATAATATTGCCTTGGAAAAGATTCTCTTTCAGGGCTGACAGTCAAGTGTGAAAGCAAAGAGAGAAAAAAAAAAAAACTTCTAGAACCTCCTAGAATTCTGATATGTGCATAGACGAAATTGGCCTGTTATGTAAAACACTGAAATGTGTTAACATGACCAGCAGGTGGCACTGGATGATCCAATAATTTCCTCTACCTCTATTATACTCCAGTAATTCAGTCTGCTGGCTTAGCAAATATGCTTAACATCATGGAGACAGTTTGCCAGACTCTGATACCAAACACACTGGATACCAACAATACTAATAAGAGGGAATATTAAGTATCATGTAGCAGCAGCAGCAGCAAAAACAATGAAGGCTGCACAAGAGGAGAACTTGTAGTGGCATGTCCGGTTCTAGAGGCCGTCCACATATCGTGCGGGGCGAGGAATCGCTTTGGGATTGTGTTGGCATACCATACTCCCCATGATCCAGCACAGTCCCTGCCTGAGCTGGCAGATTTTGTCTCTGTGGTGCTGCTGGGGTCTCCCAGACTATTGGTTCTTCAACATCCATGCAGAGACTGAGGTTTCCGGTCCAGCTCAAGAGTTCTTGGAAAGCATGGTTTCCTTGGACTTGACTTAGCAACTCAGCAGTCTTACCCATGTGGGTGGCCACATGCTAGATCTAGTCTTCGCTGCCGAGCACAGAGTATGCTCCGATGGTGGCTGACTTGATATCGGCCCCCTTCTCATGGTCGGATCACCACCTAATTAAATGCAGCCTAATTAAGTGGCACTTCCCTCCCACGGGGAGAAGATGGTCCACCCCCGCAGGATACTGGATACTGCTGAATTCCAAGATACCGTGTGGGAGATTCTGGCTGACTTGGTTGGTGCTGCTGTCAATGTTCTGGTGGATGGCTGGTACACCGCCACCTCCAGGCCAGTCAACATGAGCGCACCTAAACTCCCTCTCCGCTGCTGAGCCTAGCCAGACCCCTTGTTTCACCAGCAGTTGAGCACCATGAAGTGTAATCGGGAAACACTAGAGAGCATTTGGAGAAAGGCCCTGGCGGAAATTAATCTAAAAGCCACCAGGATTGTGTCTAACCTTTACCTAGGTAGGGTAAAGGTTGCTAGAAGAGCATTCTTTGCTGACCGGATAAGCAAAGCTTACAACCAGCAGGTGGAACTTTTCCGTATAGTATGCAATCTATACAGAGTTGGCCACAGTGATAGCCCCCCCCACTAGTATTTCCTGTGACCAATTTGTGGCATTTTTAAAATCTAAAGTGGATGCCATCCCTGATCCCTTTTACAGACAGTAGATCGAGCTACGATGTCCAGTGCATTGTCTTGGCTGGTGAGGTTAACTTGCTTTCAACCTGTAATGTCCAATGAGGTGGACAGGATGCTTGCACGTTGTTGTGCCATCACCTCCTCCTTAGGCCCTTGCCCAGTTTGGCTCATCAAAGCAGCCAAGCTAGTAACAAAAGAATGGGCCCATAGGGGGAATATGTCCTTAAATGAACTGAGGCTGAATCTGGACAAGATGGAAATCTTGCACATGGGCGGCCAAGTGACATCTGTGGTCCAAGCAGCCCATTTTCATCTTCAGAGGATTGCCCAGCTGCGTTTCTGTCTAGACGTGGAGACACTCACTACTTTGATTCATGCACTCGTAATCCTTGAGGTTGATGCGGAGACTGACTCAGAATTCAGCGGCCAGATTAATAGCTGAAGTGAAGAAATTTCAGCACATCTCCTCCATTCTGGCAACCCTTCATTGGCTACCGATTCGTTTCCGCATTGACTTCAAGGTTATGGTGATAAAATTCAAAGCTCTAAATGATTTAGGACCTCACTATCTAGCAGAATGCCTGCTTCCAGCCAGATCTGTCAGTAATACCCATTTTTCACAGGCAGGGCGGTTGAGGGCCTTGGCTCCGAAGGAGACACAGAGGGAAAGAACAAGAAACTGAGCCTTCTTGGAGGTTGCCCCCAATCTGTGGAACAACCTGCCCATGGAGATCTGCATGGCACCCTCACTGGATGGGTTTAAATGAGCACTGAAGACTTGCTTTTCCGCCAGGCTTCCGCTGAGCATTAAGTTTTTGATATCTCAGCTTCCCTTTTATCATTCTTTCTGCCATCCTTTTATGACCCTTTTTATCATCTTCATAGCCATCTGTCTTAATTTATCCTACTAGTTATTTTATCTGTTGAATGTTTGCATTATCTTATTTTTATTGTGTTTTGATTTTATGTTGTTTTTGTTAGCCACTCAGAATGGTCTGGTTGCCAGATGGTGCGGGGTATAAATCCAATAAATAAATAAAATGAATAAATAACATGGATTTTCCTCAACAGATTCAAACTAGTTTGGCTGGGTGAACACTTAGAATAATTTTCTATGTGT